GACCAGCCGAACCTGAACATGAGGCAATGCAGGTGGGCTGGACATGGTCAAGGATTATGATTGCGAGATCCTTTACCATCCGGGTAAAGTGAATGTGGTAGCGGATACCTTGAGCTGCAAGTCGGCTGGACCTTCAGCGGGAGAGGTGTGTATGAGGATATCCGTTGATTCTCTACTTTTGGATTTGATCAGAGAGGAATGGGTAGAGGGAGTTAGGAAGGGGAACTGGAAGCAAGAGAGGATCAGGGGCGAGATCGACCCCAAGCAAACCCTAAGTGAGAAGAGTGAATTTTGAGCTCATTTGTGTGCCTTTTTGGTGTTCTTGAAGAAGGAAAAGTTAGTGCAAGAACCTTGATGCTTGTAAGCAACTTAGATATGGGATTCCACACTTGCTAGCAACATCTTGGAGGTAAAAAGTTCACAACTTGATCACTCTATCTTGTAGATCTAGCCATTTCTTCCTTTTGGGCACTTTTTGGTCCCAAATATGGTGATTCGTGAGCATGACATGTTCTTGATCAAATAATTCGTCCTTTCAAACCTTATGGGCGTCTTAAGTCATAAAAATGTGGTCTTGATGGTTGCTTTTGCTCCATGCATGCTATAGAAGGTCTCAATGCATTAAAATGTTAATATTTTGTCTTTTAAGCACTTAATGGACATGAAAATTCATAAAGTTGGAAACTTTATCACCCATGATGGTATTTTAGCCTTGGATCTACAATTGGAAGTGTCAAGTCAAAGGAATAAGTGCTTAATGGGCTAAGAGGAGGGCTGCTGTGTACGTTGGGCGTACCTAGGGTACGCTGCGCATACACATATCTGGCCTAGATGCCCCGGACACGCTTGTAAGCGCCGCGTACCTCCGAAAGTATGCCCCGCGCACAAAGCCTGAGTCAAATCAGCTGAGTTGACTCAACTGTGTTTACTTGGTTGACTTGTTGACTTTGACCAGTTTTAACCAAGGGTATTGTGGGAAAATGTTATTAATCAGATATACATCAGACTGTAAGGTGAGTTTCCTCACTGTTCTTGGGGTCGAAGGCACCAATGTCGACCCCTTTGATTATGTATCCTGGTATTTAGGATGTATGCTATACAGTAGTAATCTGTAGATCTACCTGCTAGTCATTTAACTGGTTATATGATTATCTGTTCTTGTATATATGTTATTTGTTAAATGCATGTCGACATGGTATGGTGGGGTTGAGAATGTACTGCTTTGTGTTGTAAGTCAACAAACCGGGGAATTCTAACTGAAAGGTTGTGGGTCGGGGCATTCCAACCAGGAAGGTTGTAGGCCGGGAGGTAATCCAACCAGGAGGTTGTTGACCCGTTATGTATTGGGCATTCCAAACGTAAGGTTGTGAGCCGGGGAATTCCAACCGTAAGGTTGTGGGCTAGGGGTAATCCCACCAGGAGGCTGTGGACCCGTTATCTGTTTGGTTATATGTTTATGTGGTGGTACTTTGGGGGAACTCACTAAGCGTTGGCTTACAGTTTTAGTTTTGTTTCAGGTACTTCAGAGGACAGTGGCAAGGCGAATGCATGACCGTACACATCCTGATCTTTATGTTGTTGATCTCGAGAGACTCTATTTTGAATAATGTTTTGAAAACAATGATTATGTAAACACTTCTTTTTAGTAAATGGGTTGTTTTAAAAAGTTTAAATTTATTGTGATTTTTGAGATGTTACAAAAACATAACATTTTATGCAGAAAAATTTCACACAAAAATCAATATGAATAGAAGGTTAAATAAACAAGAATTATAGCACCAAAGAAGAGCAATTGACTCTATAATTCCAACTAACTCTTAATCACCAATACCAGCATATAAGGTAGCCTTTTTAGGAGAATTTTGAAAGAAAGAACTAGCCTATAACACACCCAATATGGCTGGAATTTAGCCATTCAAGAAGACTCAAGAATTGAAGTGAAAGAAGAAAGTTACTCTAACAGGAAGCAATTCAACTTCACGATTCCTTTCAAAACACTAGCAATTAAAGCATGAATTACATGAGGAGATATAAATCAATAACTTACCAAGACCGAGGTTGATTTACAGCTTCAATGCAGCCTCAGACAAATCCTGTCGACCTCACCCTCTTTTCCCGTCTCCCTCTCTCTTGCGAATGTTAATGCCCCTCCCACTCGATCGATTTCTTTTTTCTTGTTTGGTTAAACACGATACATCAACAATAAAACCAATAACCAATTTAACCGTTCTTAATGTACGTACATGCCAAGGAAAACATACGAACGACATTAATCTCGTCAACGTAAACCATGGGAAGGTTACAATCCATTTTTTGCAATTAAGCCCCTCTATTTTCAGCCTTGTATCCTTTAAAACTCAACCCTAGATAAGATAACATTTTAGGTTTCTTTAATGAGATTTCAACCCCTCCATTCCATTTAAACCTTTTAAGAAATTATATTTACCCTGTATTCCGCAAAATCAGTGTAATTAAATTATATTCCTCTTAATTATTGATTAATTCTTTAAGATATTAAATAACACAATTTTTAATTAATTCATTTCATTTTAATATTATAAAACTAAAATCATTTACAAAAATAGTTATTTGAGTAATGGAAACTAACCTCGCTAATGAAAGAAAATATGGGTCGTTACATAATAATGTCAAGATTGGTATATGTTGATATTGGATCCAAAAATGAAGTTTAGACATTGTTTCTTTTATCATCTTTGCCCGAGAGATGGTCTGGTGTAGTTATAGTAGTTAGTAGTTAATCTGGAACCACTAAGCTCATATTAGAAGGCATTCCACGACTTAATCCTAAGAGAATATATTTACAGAAGGAATGCTGGTGAGTTCTCCAACAACTTACCGAGCACCGAGGATATATGTTGAAGTTCCAACATAAGAGGAGGTGGTAGAAGAAGATCAAAGTCAAGGAAAAGAGGATATTCCATGGACATGAAAGACATTACCTGTTGGAATTGTAAAGAAAGTGGACACTTCAAGTATGAATACCTAAAGCCGTTGAAACATTAATACATGTAATGATTAAGTAATAATAAAATAAGATGTAGAGTAGTAAAATAAGTTACTAGGACTTATTTCATCTATTAAATTCATTACGGATGCTTATATAAGGTTTGCGAGCAAATACAATAAAGTACATTACATAAATATGCAAAAACTAACGAATTAACATGGCATGTGCATTACGTGTGAACGCCAAGGAATATCTCATGCGAGTTGTCTGTCTTTTTAGATTGTGAGGAATCTTCGACTAAGCCCAATTTGGCTTGTACCACTCCCATAGCTTCCTTGGTACTTCTGTAATGTTATGCGATGATTGGAATGAATTGATTTGAGTTATAAACTAGAATTAGGACTTGATGTATGTAATAAGTCCTTGATAAATGGTTTATTTATTAACCATATGTGATTAGAAAGTGTCCATACAACTCTGGAATCAATGAGATGTACTTATAAGTGATTAGAAGAATTGATGTGAGTTATAGCATAGACATATGTCCCTAAACCTAATTTCATGCTTTGAATTTGAAATGATTTCATATTTATACTTCTTATTTGAAATAAGAATACTACAAATAATTGTTGCGTTCATGAAATATATGTTGAAAGATTTGTTTCATTTATAAAACTAATGCTTCTTTTAGAATTTGTTTTGAGCATCCTATTTTTGCATTCACTTAAGATGAGATTGTGATTGTGTAACCTGGATACCTTATTTGGACTTGACATATTCCTACAGCGGATTTTAGATATTTGTACATTCATAGTGGGTTTAGATATTCCCATAGCGGGTTCTAGATATTTGCAAGTGCATGTGTGTATTAGCTATCATGTATATAGTCTAGTGTAATAGTATCACTAGTATCTACTTTGTAAAATGGACAATAGTTTGATAGTTATGCCATGTACTAACTATTCATGAGCTCGATTTGTTAACCATCATTGAGAGTTTTAAGCTTGAAATTGGAGAATAGAAACATATGCATTTGCAAGCTTGATTTGGTTGAATTATTTCATTTTGATAAATATTGAACTCGTATAATTTGTGGACTTTTGATAATCAATAGTTTAGAATTGTTGGGTCTTTTTAGTTTTAAACTTTGTATTATGTGTCTAATGAACCCTTTGACTTTGAATATCGAGTCCTTGGATTTTCCGAATTTTACAAAACTTGTTTTTTAGGTTTGACTTTGTGTTTGGATGATGATCATCATCTACAACTCTTTAAGAGTCGACATCAGATATGCTCACTAGGCTTTCGAGTCTAACACTTGTATTTTGACATTGCTCGGATTAATGATTCGTTAAAAAAAATCGATAGAGGAAAACAAGGACTTTTAGAAGGTCTCGTTTATGTAGTGGTTACATTTGGAACTTATATTTTTGAGATTAATTGTTACGTCATCGCATTTTTCAACGATACTTTATTTTGTACTTTGGACCTTAATTCCGTAATTTTTTTAAATATTCGACTTTTATGAACATGATTTAAACTTGGTTTATAAACTATTATAAAATCACTCATGCGAGGGATATTACAATTAAATCCGGGTTGAGTTTGTTTTTTCGATTATTATGCTAGTCCCGTTATTCTGATATGTTCTTTTAATATATTCTGAAACTTTGTTTTTTGAAAAAAAAACTTTAAAAGTAAATTATTTAGGTGGATATAAATATGCTCCATTTTGTATGTAGATAAAGTTGATACGTGTTATTTTAATTCACCGATTTGATTTAAGCGCCATATTGTTTGGGCTGTTTAAGGGGTTTATATGGGCTTGTTTAAGGTTTTGGGCCTTAGGTCATAACAAATATGAAAAAATCACTTTCTCACTTTCTCACTTTCTCACTTTGTCCATTTTGTCTATCCATGATTCTTTAAATTTGGCTTTTCGGAGTATTCCTTTTCCTACATCGATTGCCTCATAATTTACATAGAATTCATTTTAATAACATAAAATTACAATTATGTTTCTAAGTTCTAAGTTTAGGATGGATGATAATGTTTCATGAATAGTTAAAGGTCAACATTATCGAATGATCACAAAATCATCAAATCTGAATTCGTGCTATTGATAGTAGTCTGCGTTAGAGTCATGGATATTATATCATCATTGTCATCATCTCGAGGCAACAACATATTAGTGTTCAAAGCAGTATAAACCATCAGAATGCATGACACTGATACCGAAAGTCCTGAGAGAACAAGCATAAGCAAATGAGCAACGTTACTCTTCATTTCTTGTGCGTACTCGGTTGATGCCAGTGCCAACACTGTTAGTGGGTATGAATACGCCCACCATACCACATTAAATTTTCTCATTGATTTCTTGAACAATGATGGTCTTGATACCTAATAAACCAAAATCAAGATTCAAGAATTTTAGTATTCCAACTTACAAAGTATGTTATGGTATATAAAACATTAAACTTAAATAAGTTATCAAAGTAATTTTGGATAATTTAGGCTTTGAAACATATGTCACTTATACCAATAAGTAGGTTGTTGATCTTTTAAGACAATGGATTTACTATAAAATTAAAAAAGGGCATTAAAGAAAACCACTATGCCACCTTTCATATAGTGCCGTTTTATTTGAAAATTAAGAAAAGATTTAACCATACTAAAAGTAATATCACTTAAAAGCAGATTTAATATCTTTTACTTCGTACTATGTACGAATGAATCATCGGATGTCCCACAGGATTCTAAATTTCAAGAAAGAATATAACTTCTGAGTTAATTTGTATATTATTGATAACAGTTTTGCTTGACACTTACATAAAATACTTTTTTATATGATAAAAATTTAAAAATAGCAGACCAAACATTTGTTACCAAAGAAAATAAGTAAATTAGAATCGAATTTTTTTTTTTAAGATTGCAATATTTTGGTATAAATGTATATAATATTTGCACTTACCAGAGATAGGAAGAGAAAGAGAGAAAGATAAAAAAGCATTTTTGAAGAACAATCAAATCTCCCAGAAATGGAGTCCCAAGCTAAGCTCGCCATGCTCGGAGCAGCGATGAACAAGAACATAACCGGCCGGAGCATCGCCGGCATGCAGCTATTCCCCGTTAATCTTTGATAAAGTGTAACAAAAAGCACGAGATAATGTATGATTCCCAACGTAAACATGATTATGGCACTCTCTCTCCATCCCATCTGCGCCGCTGCTCGTGCTCCCACAAAGTTTCCGATCACCGAAAGTTGGCTCGCCGGATTCGCCGCCGTCGACAGAAACCTCTTCCCTTTCGTGAACCACTGCCCGTATATTTTTACGTCAAGAATGAATATCGGAAGAACAAACACCCACCAAAGAAAAAGATAATAAACAGTTTTTGGAGCGAAGAATGGCGACGTTTGGAGCAAAAGCAGCCATGAAATCCATGGAGCAAAAAGGTAATTCACACTGATATGGTTTAGGTATTCGTTTTTAACCATGTCGGATAGTAAAGCACATCGTAAAATATATAAGATCGAGAGAGATACAAGAATGAGCAACGATAAGAACCACAGAAGGAGGAATGCAGCGGAAGGCATTGCTCCCAGCATTCTTCGGTAAGCATGGGCGTTTTCCGGTGGCTCTCCTAGAGTTTTCCAGAGTAGGGTTTGACAGCAGAGCGAAAGACTTATACGAAAGTAACCTGCATGGAACCTCGCTATGATCGGAAATACCATCGCTTTGATTACTATCCAAATGCCATCATGGGTGGCGCCACCGTGTGAGATGACCGTTGAATCGATCATCAACTCTACGTGCGGCGGCGGTGGTGAAGTTTGTTGACCGGGTTTCTCTTGCGTTGTGGCGGTGACCATGGTGGTGTCAGGTGTGTGTGTATGTTACACGTTTTTTTTGTAAGTAATAATATGCAAGTTTTGTTTTTTTGACTTAGGGGCAAAGCGTATATATAGAGGAGCAAGATGAATAAAATTTCTGAAATTATATTTCTATTTTTCTGCTTATATAAAAACATTATATTTTATAAATAATGATTTTTTTGAATGATGATTTATTTGTGAAAAACAAGTAAAAGTGTGAAAAAGAGATGTTTTTATTTTTGAGTAATGTTGATAGAGAAAGTTTCTTGGAAGGTTACGTGGGGCTAAAGGCGGCTGACTAACTCGGCTAACCCAACTGGACCGAACCGGCTGTCTGTTTTCAGCTCTTTTCTTTACAGCTAGATGTCACGGTGGTGGGGTCACTTCATAAAGCTCGGCTTAACGGCTTGACTAATGAGTCAAGTTGGCACACAAATAAAGCGAAAGGCTTCAGTTCACATACCATTATTAATAATAAAATAAATTATGTTGCTATTATACATAAAAGTAATAAATAGAAATTTTACTTTGGATTAAGTTGTTTTCTTTTTTTTGTATGTAACATACAGTTTTGTAATAAGCTAAATTCTATATTTGTTTAAAAACAAAAGGTTACGATTAAAATACGTTTGATTGAACGATTTTAATAGTGATAATATTAGTTTAACACAAAATACGAACCGGAATTTAAAGCTTATTATATATGTATCCCAATAGATTGGTGTATCCTTGTGTGGGTGGGTGAGTGTGTGTTTGATTTTTTATGTGAATGAGCTAAATATAATAGGGATTATGCCCGTAGTAGTTATTTTTTGGGTATGGTTTACTAAATATAGGCACAAAAATCAACTTTTATCCAAATTGACATGTATTCCGTAGAGCTTCCTCCGACCACAGAATGAATTTATTATCTGAAAAATCAATGTGGCAAAAAAACACATAAAAAAAGCTAAAGAACAGTTCCGCGGAAGGATGAATGTTGAATAACAGTTCCGCCAAGCTCCCTCTAATTTCACAGAGCTACATCCGAGAAATCGATGCCCCTCTGTAATTTATCATATTGCCATTCCGCGGAGTGTATACTAATTCTGTGGAGCCCGTAGAGGTCACCTCTGCGGATTGTATGTCTATTTATGGAAACAATTTTTTTTTATGTCTATTTTAGAAAATACCCCCAAAATATGTCTATTTGGGGCGTAATCCCAATATAATAACACTCAAATTTAATTGAAATCATTCATTTGTTTACAGTTTCATGTTATTTTCAAAGCAACTTTTCTGTTCTGAATGTGTTTGGTTCATTAAGATCCACATCTTTAAATTTGATTGATAACCAAACCAGAACAATTTTGCATATTTTTGTAACTAACAAATATTGACCACATAATGTGGGGAGCTAGTACTTGAAAGTACACCACAGTCACTATTAGTCTCAATAATTTATTTTTTTTAACAGCAAGAAAGAACTATGTATAATAATTAAAGCATAGCTAGCAAAGAGGCTAAAGTTACAAGTAATCGAGATAGACCGTGCAAAGGCTGATATACCGGTTCGACCAACTACAATAAAATTTGTTAAGAATATTACTTTTTTTTGTTATATATTATTAGTATAAATTGGTTTTCTAAATTTATAATATATATTTATAACTTGTTAACAACATATGTGTAACTTTTTACATATATGTCTATTTTCTAAGGAAATGTAGGAAAACTTTTTAAGTTGTATCACATTTATTTAGATTATAAGTTATGCTGTACATTGGCAATTTCAGCAAAAAAAAAAAGTATCGAACATAACTTTTTCTTTGTATCTGTAAGCAATTATCTTTAGTTTTGTAAACCAAAAATACCTTTTATAAAAATTATTTTCCGTGCAAACCTTTCATATAAAAAATATAAGGTATTTTAACATATAATTACATATCTAGAACACTCTTTAAAATTTTCATCCAAATAGAGTTTAATGGATGATGTGCAAAATTATATACAAAATGTCTGGGTTTCAAATCTAGTCACGTTCAATTGCCAGTGTTACGCAATTGACCTCCCCTGGCAGCCTTGGAACGGGTTGGCGTGAGTTACTCATATAGTACGGTTTGCCATTTTTTTAAGGTTAAAAACCAATATTTTACAAAAATATTGTGATTGTTCATAACTAGTAGGGACCAGAAAAAGATAAAGTAATGGTAAAATGTGAAGCGGACCTATTTATTAATAATAAAAAAAAAGAACGGTAAGAGAACCTATTTATTAAAAACAAATATAAAATAATAATTATATAATAAACCATGAATGAGAAAAAGATAAAGTGATGGTAGAATGGTTTTTTTTAAGACATTTATTTAATAGAAGTCACTTGACCAGTGACCGTAACAACCTAATCTCAGGGACCACGCACGCAATTTTTTCTAACTATGATCATCCATATAAAAATCTTAAAGATTTGAACTGAAGTGTAGAACAGAGCAAACCGTAAGGACCAAAACAATAATTTACCCATTCTTTCCTTAAACATTAAATAAATAAATAACAAATAGACAAAACCTCATAAATGTTCATATGATTTCCCAAAATTTGGAATATAGTCCTTAAATTTAAAAAATTATGGTCTTTATGGTTTATAAAACTTCTAACAAATGATCATTATGGTTTCAAAACTTTTAACAAATATCTAATAACTAAATAAAAAAATTGATATACCATTTTTAATATATTTTCGATTTTTTTTATTTAAATATTTTAAAAAAAGAAAATAAATAAAAAGCCCACCATGGGCTTCCCCCACCCATCTCTCTCTCTCTCTCTCTCTCTCTCTCTCTCTCTCTATATATATATATATATATATATATATTCTATATATATATATATATATATATATATATATATGGTCTCCAAAAAGAAACCCCCCCTCCCTCCCCACATACTCCATAATACACACATATCGAAACTCCAAAAAGAAACCCACACCAATTTCCCCACCCTTCATCTTCTTCTTATTCATTACCTGCATTTCAAAACGAGGTTCAAGATTAAAAATAAAAGCGATCAATCTAGGGTGTTTAACACAACAAAAATATAAACTAAAAAAACTTACCTGCAACTTCATCTTCCCCTGCAACCTCATCTTCAACGAAGACTTCGTTTTTCTTCTCCAGTTCAATCAACGAGTCCAAAAATCGAGGGCACTGTAGGCAACGAATACGTCGAAGAGAGAGTGATGCTGAAACATCCCAAAAATAAGATCCAAAAATTTCTTTTTAATCCATTAATAAACCATTAAATAAAACCATAGTTATCAAATCATTGCATCAAAACGTGAGTCAAAGTATTTCAAAACATTATTATCAGAGTTTCCAAATCAAAACATCAGAGTAAACATCTCATGCTAAACATCATGGTGTGTGCAATGCAGTCATCCCGAGCTCTTCCCTCCGCTACTGGAAGTACCTGAAACCAAAACTGAAAACCGTAAGCATGAAGCTTAGTGAGTTCCCCAACCTACCACATACCATACACATAAGCACATATATTGGACCCCCGCCCGCTACATCGGGTCCCGCCCGGCATCGGACGAATCCGGCATCAGGCCCCGCCCGACATCAGACCCCGCCTGGCATCGAGCCCAGCTCGGTATACAGATTTGTTTCTCTTAGGCCCCAACCTGTCTCTGGCCTCGCCCACTATACACACACAATCACATAAACATGCTAGTACATAAAGTAAACATACTCTAAATGTATTTCCTGTTCTAAGGCCTCGCCTAACTTGGGCCCCACCCCTGTCCTGCTACTGATGAGTCATGGAACCCCGTCCACACTCCTGCTGATAGTGAGATACGGGCCCCCGCCCACACTCACTTCTCTCATATCACGAGCCCCGCCCCTACTCTGCTAATAATGAGATATGGAACCCCGTTTATACTCAGTTAATGATGAGATACGAGACCTCGCCCACACTCACCTCCCTACTAGGCACATACAAGTATCACACAAACAACAAGTATAATCTAACATGCAAACATTCCTCGGGCACCGCCCGACATCGGACCTTAGTCCGAAATAACATATATATAAACCTTCCTCGGGTACCGCCCGACATCGGACCTTGGTCTGGAATAACATACTATCATATAATGCCTAGGGCTAACCCCCGGGGTCTTCCTACCATACATAAACTAAATGGGCCGGCATTGTGGCCGTAGACTCATACAAACAGTGAGGAGACTCACCTCGCACTGCTGAAATCCCGCAGATAATCCTCTAGCTGCTAACTGGCAATTCCCCGAACTGCTGCTCCTTCGGCTCCCCGAGCTATCAATACCAAAATAACACTTAGTCCAAAAACCAATAATCTTTCTTAGGGTAAAATTACCATTTTACCCCTGATCTAATTTGGCCGATAACCTAGGCCCAAATCCATAACATGAAAGCCCAATTCAATAAAACTTGTCCCAAGCCCACTAATGGCCAACTTATGGCCCAATTTTCTAAATTAGGCCCAACTCCTCAAATGGGCCTTTCCATCAAACCCAACATGTGACCTAGTCCCTTAACAACCCAGAAATATAATCCAATAGGCCCAAACAGCATAGTCCAAGAGAATGGCCCAAAAAGGCCCACTGACTTACGAACGCATGGCATTCCATTGTGGAACGATGGGCGTTCCTTTGCAATCCTGGTCGTGAGTCTCAGCGGGAACACAGCGCGTTCCCAAGCCCTATGCAGCGCGTTCGTGTCCGGATTCCAAAAACTGTCCATTAAGCACTTAATGCTTAAGACATGCTACCTAGACATACATCCAAGCTATTTAGGACCCCTAGAACCATAAAGTCACGAACTTGGTGACTTTGCATGTCCCCAAAAGTCCCAATCTTAAGAAATAGTAATCAACTTCCATAAAGATGGCCATAACTCTTGCATGAACCTATTAGGACCTTAAAGATGGCAACTTTCCTGCCTAAGGGACTCAAATAGCTTCATGGGTGGCAACCCTAAGTCCAGAAACGGATTTGAACCATAAAAATCCATTCTTGAAACCAAAAAGGGACAATATCCATGCAAACCTAGATCTATG